GGGGGGATGCCCTTTAAAGGTGCAGATATTACAATATTTAGATTTAAATAAATCAAAGCTGATTGAACACCGATGAGAATATTGCTTCCGAATAAATTATATTTACAACATAAAAAAGAAATTCCGGACAAGCAACTTTTTTACTCGGACAAGTAAATGACAGATTTACACATGAAAAAGCTTAATGTCGAGCCCTGAAGGCTAACGATTAATTGATTGTTAATTTAAATAACCATCTATCAATTTTTTTAAATTGACATCCGTAGTCCAAGCTATCATTATCAGAGCATGAGAGCAGAGTGGGGAACAGAGGAGTGAACAATAGCATTATTTTACCAGCGTTGCTCAGCACGGCTATACCACACCATGTTACAGCTATTGCAAACAGAAACAAGTCTACTACAGAGAAATTTCATGTCGGCACGTTATTTGAGTGTGAGCGGTAAATGAGTGGAGCGTTTGCTTGGGCCGTGAGCGACTGAGCAGAGAGCACAGACACGGAGCAGAACATTGAGCAGAGCAAACTGGGTGCCGGTACAGACACAGTCCCTTCAAAGTGCGCCTTCGGAAGCTGAGTTACAAAAAAATTCTGTGCGAGAGTGCAACCTGAGCGCTGAACACTAAAGCCCCGTTCACACCGCCAGCGATTTTGTCGCTACATGTCGCTAGTCTCTGTACTGTGAAGTCGCTTGTGGGCGTTCGTAGTGCTGTCGCTCTAATGTTATTGGTTGACTGCACGCCTGGCCATATCTATACAAAATACCACCAGAAGTGATATATATACAACAATATCATTTTAATTTGACTAGGAATTAGGCTCAAAAGAAACAGTATGCTGTTGGGAGGGTGTTTTTATATTACCACAGCAGTGTTCAGTGGATTAAATCATTTACAAGATTAACGAACGATGAATCAACAAATTAAACTCACTCATTCCGTCATAAATGACTAAAACGTCATTCGAATTTGACAAATAATCAATTTTCTTGTCCCTAATAGTCAACATAATGCAGGGGAAACTGTAAAATGAACTGCAGCAGTGCTAAACTTGCATCACAAAATTACAACACTCGAACTTTAAATGTATGAATTAAACTCACTGAGACTGTCGACAGTTTCTTTTCCATGCCTCATTTTATTATATCCATGTATGTGGTTACAGTCAAATCATATAAACAGTGAAATCTCCCTCGAACTCCTCTGTCTTGCCTGCACTCGAGACGGTGACGTGAGCTCCACTGAAAGTCTACTTTCCTATTGGTTGTCGCTCGCGAAAATCGCTTCACATTTGCATAAAGTTGAAATTTCTCAACTTTTGTCGCTTGTCTCTTGTCGCTTGACACGCCCACATTCTGTCGCCAACGGTCACTGTCGCTCGTGTCGCCGGATGTCGCCAGCGCTCCATTGAAATGAATGGGATCATGTCGCTTTGTCGCTGCGTGTCGCTGGCGGTGTGAACGGGGCTTAGGGGCAGGGCGGGCGGTATATATTTTCGGCCTTTTTTCTCTTTCGGCCAAAAACCGAACATTTTCAGGCGATAATTTTCATCGGCCAAAATTTTGGTGTTTCCCTAGTTAAAATTTATATGAATGTGTAAAGGTAAATGTCTTAGGTCCTGTAACTGGTCTCTACAACTTCTACAAAGTCTTTAATCATGTTTAATCATTTGTTTTGCCTTCATTAGTTTATTTTAAACGGTTTTACATCGTGACAAATGAATTTCTAAAAATAAATATATTAACATTTAGCCTCAATTAAAAAGAGCTCAAAAAGCATGCAAAATAGTTTTTAAAAAAAGAACAAAATTATGTTTAAAATAGTTTTAGATGAAGTATAGTACGTCATCACAGGACATGTCAATTTGTCAACTACTCATACAAGACTAAATGCAGCTGACAGGAAAAAAGTTATGTTGTGCAGGAAACTGAAACTGTAGAAAGATGCGCTCAGAGGCGTAACCCCTTTGACACATCCCACATCTGTTGTGAAGTGGTGTCCATGTGACCTCACGATATGCATGTGCACTTTCACCTTAAAATTGACTATGTCTAACAAAACAACTCTTCAAATCTGAACCATAACCGCAGATGTTAATGGAACCTTAGAAGTAGATGAGGTCTGGATGAGATCTAGCATCAGCAAGATATAATTAACATTGAATTATATAAACAACAGCAGGATGCAACAAATGCATGCTGGGCTAAACTATTCAAGATTATAAACAGAATCATGCCTGAGGTAGAAAAGATAAACAACCTGCTAGAGCTTGAAAGAGAAATCACAGAAGGCAGGATTTCATCCATACTGTCCAACAAACTCTCAGGATAAACTACACTGACACAGCTGCCATTTCAGTCCGGTTACACAATGTGAATGCTCAGGGCTGATATTCTGTTCTCTCAAGTGATATCTTTTAGAAAGGAGTAGTTCATTTAATAAACCTGGCTGTCAATAGAAACTTAATGAGAGGAATTAAATAAACTTGTTTCTATCCACCTACTTTTAAGCACATTTGGGGTTAAAGCTAGATGTAAACGACAAGATGTGCATCAATTATAAAAATGCGCTTAAAACTTATTCGCTCGATTTAATTGGATAATTTTGTTTTATCCGATAAGAAAACATGCACATAAACGACTATGTTTTGGTCATTCTGAAATGCCTGAGCAAAGTGGTTCTGTATAATTCCCACCCAGAACTGTTTTGCACGACTCCGCTCCCAAACATCAGGCATCTGAAAGCAAAATAACATTAGCACGTTTATTGCTTTATCTGCATGCTCTGAGGAACAAGTAATTTAGAAAATTATTAGGCTGTATATACAGTGGGTTCTCCTACTTTTCTTAGTGATATTAAGCACCAGTTTATCAGAAGTGATGGTTTAATGGTTTTGTTCTGTTAGACTTAATGGATGGAAAATGCTTTTCCCACAAACATTTTAATGCGATATTTCGATTTTGCGCAAGTTAAATTTGTAACTTTGGATGGAAACATAGCTAATTAGAAGAGAATGAAAAACCTTGCTAGGTTCCTCCTGCCCACTTCTGTCTCTAACAAAGTGCATTAAAAGTAGTTCACACCTGCCCTCTGACCTTTCTGAGCTAAAGATGTAAAAGCTCTGATGTTTTCAATCGATTCTGTTGGACTGACATACACCACTGTTTAAAAGTTTGGTGTCAGTAAGATTTTTTTAAACAAATTAATACTTTAATAAAAAAATACATTAAGGAAATTTATGTTTGTTTTTAAAAAAAATTAATCAATCAGTTTCCACAAAAAAGACTGGAGAAATGATGCTGAAAATACATAACAAAAAAACTCTCCATCACTTGCCGGTACTGGCACTACTGGCTAGCGCTTCATCAGGTCACAGAGCAGCTGCCGTGCTAAAACATAACCAGTTGTTTTAGAGATGTGATCACTGGCCAATCAGATCTGTCAAACAGTGAGAAACCTTTCTGCTTCAAACATAACATCTCCACAGATACATGCAAGTAGAATCTCAAGTGAAACGTGTGAAAGGAATTAAAATGCTACTGATGGTTAAAGTGTCTCGTCATTATAGGGAGAAATTTCTGTGTTTTCTGGAATGCCTTAGGATTAGATCCAAACAGCCATTTGACTAAATGCTTCCTGTTTAAGTTGAGTTAGGGAAGGATATGATGTTAGCAACTGCTACAGACGAGTCTCCACGAGATCACAGCTGAACCATTTGCCATTGCGGTGCCTTTGTAAATGATGACCACTGTGACATATTAATCTCGTACAGGAAATCTCAAAATCTAGGCACTGGAAATCCCCGACTGAGGCAGCCCAAACGGGGAGCCCCGTATTATACAAGGTGGGTATACTGATTTATCACATCCCTTTTTTGAAAGACAAAAAGCAAGTCTGAAGACAGAAACCTAAAGTAAACTCCTGAGAAAAAAGAAAAGACATGCCTAAAAAGGTTAATAACAAACTCACTTTTTGAGGATCATCTGACACCTTTAGCTTGGTTCAAACTGTCTGTACTTCTAAAAAAAAAAATTTGTCAGAAATAGTAAAGCTGGATTTCTTCCATAACAGGTGTTGGTGAGCGGTTAGTGCCAGTGTGTTAACCCATGTTCTCCTCATCATGTGCTAGTCTGAGAGCTCCGGACTCCACCCATTTCACAGATGCCCGAAACACGTGAATCCAGACACGTCCTTTACAAGAAATATACATATATTTGAAAATCGCCTTTTCATTTTAAAGTTTAAAAATGCCATAATGAAGCCAGCCAATAAATAAAGAGGCTTTGAATACGAGTTGAGTGGTGTGCTTTTGGTAGACACCAGTCTCTTTGTTGTTTATGAGACGGGCTCAGCATACCAACAAACAAGAGAGCGGATTTACAATTTAAGCCAGGCTTTACATACTGGATTGATTTATTTTGCATAATCCAGTTTCAGTTATGGCATTAAAACTCGGACAGACAAAACATTAGAACACACGAGGGGAGATTTCGCAGCTCTTTAAACAGATCCGAGATTCTGGTAAAACGCCAAAACTAATATACTACGGAGTGTAGTATTTCAGAAACGAAAATGTATGGTACTTTTATAAAGTACCAGGCTGAGTTTAAATGAGTCAGAAGTGCTATTTTATGTTGTAGACGTTAAAAACTTGAGCGCTAACGTTAATTTCTGACGAAATTCAAAGCCGAGCCCTGCCCTTCTAGACCACGGAAATCACGCGTGAGATTGAATCCACATGTTTAATGTGACGACAAGTTAAGGAGACGATTTAGAAAGAAATCAGGTCCTCCGCGGAGGTCTTTGTTCAAGACCGCGGCGGGGGAAAGTTGAGAGAATAACATGGGCGTTTCTCCTGGGCAGGTTACAGCGCAACTTCAGCTAACGCTATAACGTTAGCTACATTTCACGGTCCTCTCATCCTTGCCGACCCCGTTCAAAGTCAAGTTTAGACCCGACACGCCACCTTGCATAAGTCTGTGAATGAGAAACGCGCCTCCTACCTTTCATAACATTACTGTAAATGGTGGTTTTGAACTCTTCTTTGGCCCGCTGATCGAAGTCTTGCCCGTGTATGATGCGCATCTGCTTGAGGAAAGTGGACTTGCCGCTCTCCCCGGCGCCGAGCAAAAGTATCTTGACTAACCGTTTCACATAGGGTTTGTCTTTCATGAGATCTCGGTCAATTTCTTTAGATTTCCTTAATTGTTCCGCCTCGTTGCTGTTGAGAACACAGTTTGGAAAACAAACGGATAGAAAGGACCGGGACGGCAGGAAATCCGCCATCTTTGTGCAACTTCATCGATACAGTAGGGAGTGAAACAGCGCGCGCCTGAGTGCTAATGGCGGGCGGAGCTTCGTTACCATAACACTCGCGCGCGCGCAGTTCTCTGCTCGCTGATGAAAGTTTTGGGCGGGTTCGAACTTCGAAATACAGGGGGCAATGTTCCGAGTTTGTTGTCCCCCACTTAAAGGTGCACTCAGTAATGATTTGTTTTAGATTACACTTTTACACGTAGAAATTAACCCCGTTATGCCCAAAATAGGTTTGTATCTAATATAAAACAATATAGTGAGATTTTTTTTATTTTATTATATTTATTTTATTTATTTTATTTATTTTAATTTCATTAAAACGACCAAATTTGATGAAGATGTTGTTATTTTTATAGCCAAAAATTAAGATCAAATTCTGATTGTAATGTAGGTAAATCAATGAGATTTTTATAACAGTGCGGACTGCTGCATAAAAATATATGCATATAAATATCAGTTGTCACTGAAGGCCTATAGCTCCCAATAATGTCTTAAGATGATGTTTAAATGCTTATTTTTTTATTTATTTAAGATTTATCTATACATTTTAAGATACAAAAAAAAATACACAAAGAAAATAACAGGAACATTGGGAGACAAAAAGACATGACACGCTAAAACATGTAACGGTAAACAGATATACTAAAGTCCCACAAAAAAACAACAACCTACTAGTGCAATACAATCCTACATGTAAACCCAATTGTTTATTAGCCAGACAAAACAAAATTATTATCATCATCTTGTCTGGTGATTGGTGGTGATGGGGTTCTGGTAGGATCGGTGGGATCCAAAATCAAACACAGAAAGCAGGGTCAAGCTGGAGAGTTTGGACAAGGTCACGAAGGGGTTGCCAAAGCTTGACAAAAATAGCACTAGGTCGGCGAAGAGAGTACCTAAAGAACATAAAAAACGTCTCTAACCCAGCGAGTGTGAAAGGGTGAGGGCTCTTCCAATTCAATTGAATTAACCGCCTAGCCAAAAGAGTTAAAAAAGGCTACAAAGTCTGAGAAATAAGAAAGCAAAGAGTGGCCAGGCTGGAGAACCTCAAATAAACTAGTAATTGGACAAAGTGGGATTTCCACAGAGCTGACTGCATGACAATGAGACAAACATTTGCTTCCAAAAGAAAAACAGGGCAGGGCATGCAGGACCAGAACATATGAATTAAAGTGGCTGAACCAGAATGACACCTGTCACACTCCGGGTCAATAGAGGGGTAGATGCGAGCTAACCTGGTCTAGACCAGTGGGCTCTATGAACCACCTTGCACATGAGTCTGTGACGAGAGCAAAGAGAGGAGGAGTAAACCCTGTTCAAGACTGCCTTCCATGTCTCCTCGTTGATGTCAATGTCTTGGGACCAGACAATGCAGGTTATCAGAGGAAAATTGCAAATTAACAAGTATATGTAAATTGCTTAGTTTTATGATCAAATGATCAAATTATGTAATCAGTGGCATATAAGTTAGCCCTGGGCCCCTTTTACAAATTTTTTTAACAGGCCGCTTCCGTTGAAATCGCATTCCCTGGGCCCAAGCTGCGGGCCACCCAATCCGCCCGGGCCAATATGCACATGCCATACGCCACTGAATGCAATGTAACACAATGATGATTGAGAGAGAGAACCACAAAGCCACAAACGGGGTCCTCAAAAGATGTATCATATTTGATACATTTTAACTTGGTTTTTCTAATCAAAATACTTGCTTCTTGAATTGTTAATAACAGTATAAAAGATATTTGTATATACTTTATAAAAATAATTTAAGATTTTACAGCAAAAAGATGAATGAACGAATGAATGAATGAATGAATGAATGAAGCATTTCTATGGTGCTTTTTCTTATAGAAACCTACTATACCCAAAGCACTTCACAATCATATCAGGGGGTCTCTCCTCACCCACCACCAGTATGCAGCACTAAAAGGGCATTGGCGCCAGTGTGCTGCTCACCACACACCAGCTATAGGTGGAGAGCAATAGAGCCAATTCAAAGGATGGGGATTGAGAGGCCATGATTGACTAGGGCCAATGGAGGGAATATGGTCTTCTCTTTACGAGAAGTGATATGCCTTATAGCACTTTTGGGGGAAATCATTAAAATGGTGTACACTCACTCACATGAGATGAAGACTTGATGTATCAGTCTTTTACAAATAGCTACTTTATGGAGTGGGTTACACATTCATAAAGGCTGTTGGCATTAAAATGTCCAGATGTGAAATCGTATTCCTGGGGTTGATGAGTGCAACTTTAACTTAATATCAAAATGAGCTTATATGTGCTGTGCCCCCATCCAACTTAACTCCTATAAAGATGCTGTCTTTGCTTTGGTCGATATGGCGGCCGCCTTGGACTAGTGCTCTGGATGCAGCTGAAAAGCTGCTTACTGGGATAAAATGAAGTATTCGGCTGGTTGTGTGATCTAACACGTCGGCCCCCATAAGGCAGTCCTCCATGTAAATTATAGCAGCTGAATCTCATGCAAGTCAAGTGTATTACACATTTCTGAATGTGTAAAACATGTTTTGAGAAGAAATTACATAGTGCACTTCACTTGTACAATAGGCTAGCCTATGCATCTGCTTACTGTTTCTGAAAGATTACATTCAGGGGACCAATATTGCTCAGCTGAGGAATCTCTTACAGGCCTTTAATCAGGCTGTAACTGAAACGGCAATTTCTTGTGATGGAAAAACAGCACAGATAAAATGAAATGAAGTGCATTCCCATAGGAAACAGTGGCGAGAGAGTGTGTGTCTCTCTGTCGCCGCCTGTCGGTGTGTTTCAGCAACGCATCACCTGCTGATGCTCTGATGCTGCGCTGTGATTGGCCGCTGTCACTTTATTATGTTTGCCAGTCCCTGTTTTTGATTCTTGGTGTGTGTGTGTGTGTGCGCGTGCAGCAGGGACCTGCACTGTCCACCACTCTCAGAAAACCTGAACTTAAATTCTCATTAAGGCTGTTGACAACAGGATTTGTTTTCCGTTTTTAAATTTTTTTTTTTTTCGGACTGCAAAATGACAATAAGATCGGACCGAGACCATGGACAACATTATCGGCCACGGATGTCCTGCCTTAAAAAGGTAAAGTTCATTATGTTAAGGCAAAGTAAGCAAGTGATGATTTATTTAGTTTATTGATCTATTATTGAACAATTAACTCCTATTTAAAGACCTTATATACTTTATAATTAGCTATTTGTATTGTTCATTCTGTTTGCTGTTGTAAATATAGGCCTACCCCAATATAGGCTACCATGCCTGGTAGAGTTTCATAAATTCATAAATTTACCCGACTTTCCAACACTTATTTTTAATGATATAATAATAACTATAATATGTGATTCTAACAGTGTCATGATTAAAATGAAAAACCAAAAACTCAAACAAATAGAATATCCAAATATATAACTGTATTTTTATTTTATTGTTGTTTCTGGATTCTGTGTTTATTCTTAACTTCTTGGAGAGATCTTATTCATTGAAGAGATTCGCTCTAAAAGAGCTTTCTGATTCAAATCCAATTAGCCTGGCATCATGCCACATCTGACAGCTTGCCTTAAGAACTGCATGTCTTACTCTCACGTTTAAAGGTCATGCATGTTGCCATAGTACAGGAGTGTCAAACTCATTTTAGGTCAAAGACCAGACTGGACTAACTGTTACCTGTAACAAAAATGTATTTTAGTTGTTACCCTTGCAGAGCCCATGTACAGTACATGTGTAATATATCAAAATGTTCATTAGGGAATATGAATCAAACATAATGATACAATGTTAATTCAAATAATAACAAAGAAAAAATGCCAACACTTAAATTGGACAAGTTTATTTTTTTTAATATTGACAAATTATTCATCAAGATTCACAGACAAAAAGGGTTCAGTGTTTTTTATTTAGGTCAACAGGGCCTTCCCTTCTAAACTATTGATTTTAAAAGATAGTTTCACAATGTATGAATGTATGGGTTTATACATCTATAGCATGAAAACTATACAAATATTTAATGCCACACACTTTGGGAAAATAAACAGGCAAGGTAACTGTTTAACTGCGTCACTTTTTTTTCTCATGCCAATCTGTGGCCGTGTCTTTGAAACCCCTGCCATAGCACAACATCTACTGGAAAAATTATATTTATAATTATGCAGGATTTGTGTTATTTGAAATATTTGTAAATTTGTTTTGTAAGGAAATCTTTTGGCATGTGGGACGGGTCCACATGTACAACTGAAGCTCATTCTGAAATGTGACAGACAGTCATGGCTGATTTTCACCGCTTCAGCTATATTTTCCTAAATATAGCTGTTGTGAACCCTGTTTCCTGCATTGAACTTCAAAAGTTGTGACACTGCCCTTTCTTGAGCATTGTATTGTATCCTTTAGCACTTTCATTTATATATTAACTTCTTTATATTTTAAATATTAAGCTTACATATATTAAACAAACTCCCTGAATTTCACAGGTGGAGGCCATAGTGGTTCAGATGCAGGACCCATCGACTGGAGTGAAGGGATCAGAACAGAAGCTAAATGTTACAACCATTCCCCATGCCATCGCTGGTGAGTTTGTAATGGAGTCTTGCTGAATCTTAACACTGTTCACAGATCACCATGCATTGTATACTGTACATTCCCTTTCGGTCTATATACAGACACAAGCTATGTGCTGCCAGATCATAATCTGATGGCACCGGCTATATACAGCAGACTTCAATTGGATGAGACCTTTACTACTTTAGGTTCCAAAGTTGCTCTTTAATCTCTGCAACGGTTGTCGACAAATCTAGAGAGCCAGGAACTTTAACTTCATCTTACACTTAACTGGGTCTTATAGTAATAAGCTTGAGATTTATAAAGCACAAATGTTCAAAATTCATGAAAATGTTCATTTTCTATAACATTTCATCACAATTTAATGTTGGGTCATACACTGACATGCTTAATAATGAGTTGTATGTAATGTAATAATTTAATTTTAATTTAATTTAATTTAATTTAATTTTCACACTTCTTTA